AGAGAGAAGACAGAAGAGAAAGAGAAGAGAGAGAGAAAGAGAAGAGAGAGAGAGAAAGAAAAGAGAAAGAAAGAGAGAGAGAGAGAGAAAGAAAGAAAGAGAGGGAATGAGAAAGAAAGAAAGAGAGAGAGAGAGAAAGAGAAGAAAAGAGAGAGAGAGGAGAGAGAGAGGAATGAGAAAGAAAAAAGAAATAAAGAAAAGAGAGAGAGAGAAAGAAAGAAAGAAAGAGAGTAGAGAGAGAGAGAAGGAATGAGAAAGAAAGAAAAAGAGAGAAAGAGAAGAGAGAAGAGCCCCCCCGCCCCCCCCCCCCACATACACACACGTGCGGAGAATCTAATAAACAAGCCCCTCTTTCCATTTTTAAATCATAAACAACAGGTGAGGAATATAGGCCTATTTTCCCAATATTCGGGTTTGCTCATCCTTAAAATTTTGAGATTAATAGAAAGAGGGTGAGGGTGAGTTGCCACATCGTGTTTTTATCCTCGTCAATAACGCTCTCTGACGCACGTTTAAGGCTCAGGATTTTTAACCTTATGCGAAAAGATGTTTGTATAATGTAACTTCATTTACATAGTGTTTTGGGATCCTGTTTTTCTTTTTCTTCTTCTTCTCCCTTTTCTTCTTTATTCTTCTCTCCTCTGAATCTTGCTAACTTTTGAGAGTCATATTTCAAAGTCATGTTTTACATTTTTATTGTTATTTTTTTCGCATTAGTATCATAAGCTGTATTAGTATTATCACCATCATTAATATCAAAATTGTTATTCCTGTTCTTGTTCTTAATACTATTATTACCGTTTTCATTATCATTATAATTGTTATAAATAGTAAGCATTAATGATATATGCAGTGATAGTATAGCTGAAGTTATTATTATTATAAAAATGTATCGTATTTCTGAAAATTAACGAATTGAAGCAACTTTGATGAATAAGTGATATTTCATTTTAGTTTTAATTATCGACGTGTTATTATACATATATACTGCCCTTTTAATTATTGCATTTAAAGAGAGACTGAAATTGTTTATTGAGCGACTGGTGAAAAATAAGACCTAATATGTGTTGAATTTCGAAAATATATTGAAGCAGATCGTTTGAACTAACAGGGGGAAACGGACTGAAAAGTTTTTTTCTTTCTTTCCTTCATTTTTCTTTCATGAATTATTTTCATTCATATAAGCTTGTGGTACAATTCAGAAAGTCGAAGGATTTTAAAAGTTTGCTAAATTGGTCTTCAGATACACAAACAAGATGAAAAAAAGAAGAAAAAAAATGGACAAAGAAATCAAACACGAACTTGCCCGGACTGAATTCCCGCCAAAATCAACCATTGCAAAGCGGTCATTATTTTTATCCTTTTTTTTCCTTTCCAACCGATTCTGCAACATGGATATGCAAGTCCATTGAAAAGCTGAGTTGCAACAGGCTGGGTACACGATAACACTTGCTTTATATGCATAGAGTTTTCATTTTTTTCTTTTTTTCTCTCTTTTCCTTTTTATGTGAAGTTGAAACGAGAATTTCTATGTAATGATTCCAGTTCCTGATCTCGGTTGTTATTTTGGAATTAGGAGATGAAAGGGGGATTGTTAATAATATCCTGAGGGCGAGAGAGAGGGAACGAGAGGAAGATGGGGAAGGGGGATGGAGAGAGAGAGGAAAAGGGAGAGGGAGAGAGAGAGAGAGAAAGAGGAAGGGAACGCANGATGAGAGAAGAGAGAAGAGAGAGGAGAGAGGAGAGAGAGAGAGAGAGAGGAGAGCACGGACGAGGGGAGGGCGAGAGCCGGGAGACTCGCGACGACTGAGAGGAGAGGGAGATGGAGAGGGCGGAGAGAAGGACGGAGTAGAGGGATAGAGGAGACGCGAGGACGAGGAGATCGGAGGAGCGGAGAAGAGAGAAAGAGAGAGAGGCGATGAGGAGAAAGATGACGGAGGTTGCGGGCGGCGGCAGACAGGGACGAGCGAGAGAGCCGATCGGGGAGGAAGCTGAGATAGAAAAGAGAGAGAGAGGAGAGAAAGAGAGATTAGAGAGAGAGAAGATGAGAGATGCGAGAAGAGAGGAGAGAGAGAGAGAGAGAGAGAGAGAGAGAGAGAGAGAGAGAGAGAGAGAGAGAAGAGAGAGAGAGAGACAGAGAGAGAGAGAACAGACAGACAGACAGACAGACAGACAGACAGAGAGAGAGAGAGAGACGAGACAGACAGACAGAGAGAGAGAGAGAGTGAAAAGAGAGAGAGAAGAGAGAGAAAGGGGGGGGGGGGAGGAAAGAAAAAAAAAAGAAAAAAGCTTGTTCTAATCAAACATTAAAAGTACAAATGCACTGTTGAGCATCTGTGGACTTTAGGGTTAATATTGATTTAATTTCTTAAAATAAAATTACTCCTCTATATTACAAGTAAAGAAAATATGCTAAGGATAAGAGAAAAGTCATTTATGCCTTATCTTGGTGTACAGGAATGCTAACAGATAACTATTCAAGAACTTTCAGCAGCATTAT